GGAACCCGGAATATTGTAAGTATTGGGAAGACGAACAACTTAGACCACGGGGAAACTTGAGAAACCCGGAATTCCCCTGTTTGACGGAGCACGACCGACTGTGCGCGGGGGATTTCCACTGGGCTATAACCAGCGACCCTAGAGGCCCATACTACCCGGATACGGACAATACTCAATACTACATATCCCCGGGTTTCGTCATTATCACTACCCGTTTCCCTCCCTTCCATCTCCCCCTCCCATATCACCAACTCACAGTGGTACCGTGGAATTCCATAGCTCGCTATTGGTCCAGCCCGCCCCGCGAGGGTTGCCAGCAGCACCGAGCACGCCGAACTTCGAGACCTACTCAACAGACTCAAACCGAAGCTGAACAACGATTGCACAGCCTCCGCTTACAGCCCGCCTCAGCGGAATCTGAAGCCTGTTACGAGCGGCGCCGACAACTAGCCGAACCGCGCGACCGACCCCGAAGGCGAAATAAGAGATGATGGTAATTTCCTGGGTTTTAAGCTGACGAAATTCAAATTCGTTGTTAGGGGCAATTTTGTTCGGAATGCAAGAGTGTTTAGATTTGTCGGTGCTGTGATTGAGGAAGAGTACCCCGGGATCTTTAGTTTGAGATGCACTGCCCATGCCATCTACCTTATGCTACACGATATTTGCGGCCTCTCTTCCATGCACAAACCACAAGAGGTGGACCGCCCTTATCCTTTTAGGGATTAAGAGCGCCAGGTACGACCTGCACGCACCCTTTTTGCGCTTTTACCCCAAAACTTGTCACAGGAGATCTCAGTTCCGAGCTGGGACTCCACCCCCACTTTCCTAAAATCATTGGCACACCCCCTTTTTGCGCACTTCCGGGTCCTCATCATCCCACTCCGATCGGGAAATCGCGCTGGGCATGAGGTTGGGCGTCACACCGCTTCGCCATCGTGATGTCCAACACCCAATTTGAAATTCGATTTTCGACCGGGGAGGTCCATTGCTTTTTAAGAGGATTTTTTTTCCGGTCGCCAGCGCTTTTCAAAATTTCCCGCCTTTGGCATCTGGACCACACCGTAGCCAGACGGACATCACCCAATGGACCAAGGCATTGCCCCTCCTGCGGCTGACTATAATATTATGAAAATGGTCGTCGGAGGCCGAAAGGAATCATCCTTGGGGACCACCCCAAGGATAGGTGGAACGACGGCGGGAAGTTCCTTGAAACCTCCCAAGGAAACTTCCTTCGGCCCCGAGGACGCTCCAAGGAGTGTCTAACGAGCCCCGAAGTGTTTCTGTGACAAGGATGACCCGAAAGAAGTGTACGTAGTAGTTCAAAACGGTGATATGTTTTTTGCATCAAACCAATGAAACAGGATTCCTACCGAGCAGCCCGTTAGGGGCGGAGGCAACCTGTCAGAGGCACTCAATGCTTTCGGTTTTAACAATGTGAAAGTGTCATTTCTGGCTTAAAAAAAAGGAAACCGAAGTCGCAAAATCAACCCCCCAACTTTGAAAACCATAAAAATGCAGCTTCGCGCCCACTTCATAGCAATGTAAAAGCAATTAAAAAAAATGCAAATCCTATCATTGGAGGGGGCGGGAAAAGGACGGCCGCCTTTTGTGGAAATCGCATGGGCCGTCTCTTCTGCACGTGATCAACGGCAGCGATCACCCAGAAATGCCACACGTGATTGAAAACGGAGGTAGCATCGTTGTAAAACTTCGCAGGTGGGTCCTAGCCCATGGGACCCTGTTCTGACATGGGTTGACAGCAGCTGACCAGAGGGTGACAAAAGTTTGACTGCAGAGGGGGCCGTAGACTGGTAGAACAGTTCTCAGCCAAAAGGTGAGGAGGACGACTCACACTCCGTAGGACCTGACCCTTGTGATCCTGCGCAGGTTTGCATATACGCTGAGTGCTGCGGGGGGGCGCGGACTGGAGGGCGCTGCTCGAGAGACCTCACAAGCTGTGGTCACAGGGCAGACCCCTGTGACTTATACTGTTTCCGGCCAAGGCAGTGGTACCGCTCGGGTCGGCGAGGCCGTTCTTCAGCCTGGGTAAGTGTCACGTCTCCCGACAACCCTCGTAGATCTTAGCCGATGCTCTTGTGTGCCGTCGATTGTAGGAAGTTGTCCTGAGGGTTGGGCGGATGTCCTGCAGAGTCGTAGATAATGAAATTGGATGAATGCGAATGCAAGTTCTGTTTGAATACTCAGAGGATGCGAATGCAAGTTCTGTTTGAATACTCAGAACAGGTGACGACCGGAATGCCAACCGCGAGAACCGTAAGACTGGGACTGAAGTTGTTGGAACCATTTGTTGGAACTGTCTTGGGACTCCTTAGCATATGCCCATGGACTTGACTTGGCACAATACTTTTTTTTTTTTTTTTTTGGGAAA